ATTAGCAAGAAATACTGTATGTTGCAGAGATACGATTAAAGCTGGTAATCTAGTATAAGGTTTAATTTATTAAAAGTGTCATGAGTCTCACGTCTGGAGCTATAAGGGGAGGCAGAGATCAAAATCTATCTACCCAGCTGTTCATGACTATGACATACGGTCCCAGCTTTTCTTGTGTTTTCTTTTTAATATAATTTTTATTGACAACAATAATAGTAACTAATACAAACCAAAGGAAAGAAGAAAATGACACTAAAAGGTAGAAAGTGCATAAAGGAAAAAAATGAGAGGAAGGTAAAAAAAAAGAAAAAATACAAAAAAATTAAAACAGGCTTCCAATCTTCACAGCATTATATTTTAAGTTCTCTAAGGTTACATCATGACTATATATTCTGTCTATCAGAATAAATCACATTCATTTTTTGTGAGCAAAAATACTAAGGTTTTGAATCTCTAATAAATATAAACCTTGTCTTTTTGCTAATCAAATAATTTAACTACCATATTTCAGCAAATTCGATCATCTTCACCAAGCATTCCTCCATTGTATTGCCAATTTTTTCCAGCTTTTTTTACAAGTTCACCAAACATGATGAAATGACAATTTCATTGCAAGACCTAGGGAAGATGGTCCTACATGGCCAGCAACCTCCTTGTGAACATGAAATGCTGTCATTTTATGCATCGGCACCCAAAATTTATTGTTTTCTTCCTATTAATTTTGAGTCCTGCTACCGCTCCAAATTGTTCTAGTTCATTTATCAATTTTTGTCCTCTTTCTATTGGTTCCTCAATAAAAAAAATCATATCATCGGCAAACGCTTGCAATTTGTATTCTTCTTTCTTAACCTTTAATCCTTTAATCTCTGGATTCTTTCTAATTCGTGTTAATAGTGTTTCTAAAGAGAATATGAAGAGCAGGGGTGAGAGTGGGCAACCTTGTCTAACTCCTTTTTCTATTTTTATTGGGCGAGTATATTCCCCATTTATTATTATATTGGCCTGTTGTGTATCATAAATCGTTGTTATGATGTTTTCAAATTTAGTGCCTAAATTCATATTATAAATTTTTTGAATTAAAAATTGCCAATTTAAATTATGGAATGCCTTTTCTGCATCTAAAAACATAAGTGCAGTTTGTTTTTCGGAGTGGGCTTCATAAAATTCTAAAACATCTACTACTGTTCTTAAATTATTCCTTATCTGTCTAGTCGGGAGAAATCCATTTTGGTCTTCATGTATATACAAATTTACAATTCGTTTTAATCTGTTAGCTATGATGGAGGTGAATATTTTGTAGTCGGTGTTTAGGAGTGAAATTGGTCTGTAGTTGTTAATATATCTAAGATCAGATTCCTCCTTCGGGATCAGCTAAATCAATGCTCCCCTCCATGAGTCCGGCATTCTGGCTGCCAATAAAACATCGTTAAAAACTTCCATCATAAGAGGTCCAATTTGTTCTGCAATTGCCTTATATATTTCTCCCAGGATCCCATCTGGCCCCGGGGCTTTGTTATTTCCCTGATTCTCTATTGCTGATTTCAATTCGGACCAAGTAATGTCTTTATTTAATAATTCTATCAATTCTTCCCCGATTACTTTATCTTTCATTTCATCTAAGTAATTTCTTATTCTATCCTCATTAACTTCTTCCTTTTTGTATAACTCTTCAAAGTATTTGTGTGCAATATCTTTTTTCTGTTCTATCTCTTGTTGTATGTCGCCCTTCTTGTCTATTAGTTGGTAGATCAATCTCTTTTCTTTCTCTTTTTTAAATTTATAAGATAACCATCTTCCTGGCTTATTAGCATGCTCAAAGTAGATTTGTTTAGTCATTTTCAAATTTATTATCATTTTCTCTTATTCAATTAAATTCAAATTATGTTTAACAGTTATTATCTGATGTTGTACTCTTTGATCTTTAGGGGTCTTTTGTAATTGAGTTTCTAATTCCTTAATTTGTTATTGTAATTTATTTTGCTGGGCATATTTTTCTTTATTTCTCCTAGCATTATAAGAGATTGTTATACCTCTTATTACTGCCTTCAATGTGTCCCAAATGTTTTGTTTCGAAGTTACACCATTGTCATTTTCCTTTAAGAAATAGTTTAATTCCTCCTTAAGTTTGTTAATATACTCTTTTTCTCTTATTAATTGGGTGTTTAGTGTCCATCTTTTCTTTGGTTTCTTCCTACCCTTCCAAGTTATTTGAATTGGATAAAATTTCAGTTCCTTTTATCTCATTTGCTATTTCCCCATTCATCCATGCCATGTCAATTTGTGTCCATATTTGATGCGGGTTAGAATAAAATGTGAATTGTTTTTCCTCGGGGTATAGTCTTCTCCATAAGTCCACCAAATTTAACTCCTTCATCATTTCCTTACATGTCTTAGGAAGCTCTCTTTTCCCCTTTTTATTCTTCCTCCCATTGCTATGGTCCTTTTGATAATCAGCAATAGAGTTGAAATCTCCTATAATACAAATATTCCTTTTTTCAAATCCTATTATTTTTTGATGTAAATATTTAAAGAACTCTTTCTGATCTTCATTCGGGGCGTAAATTACTACTAGTAGAATTGAAATAGCATTAATCCAGATCTGTAAAACCAAAGTTCTTCCTTCGGGGTCTGACCAAACTAAATCTGCTTTCAAATCGTCTTTAATGTATATTGCAATCCCTTTCTTTTTTCTCGTATCTGCTGGTGCAGTAAATAGCTTCCCTAGTTTCGGGCAGTCTAGGTATCTTTCATCTACTTGCCTTATGTGAGTTTCCTGTAGGCATATTATGTCGGCATTTTGTTTGATTAATTTAGCTATTATCCTTTTCCTTTTTGTCATCAAATTTAAACCATTCATGTTAATGGATAGAAGTTTCTTTTCTTCTTCCATTTAATTAATTCTGTTTCGCTCTTTGTCTCGTGATAACTCCGGTCTCTCCTTGTGCTTGCTGGGGACTAGTTTCTTCTCTCTCCTGAAATGAATAAACATTCCCTTGGTTTCTTAAGGATCCTTCTTTTTTGTTTCTGTGGTGACTTTGGTCTTCCTGTGAGTTTATTTCCAATTCCTCCTTACTACTCTGATCTTCCATACCTACTAGTCGTTCATAAAATTCTTGGGCCCTTTCCATAGAATCTATTTTAATTCTCCTTTCTTTCCATGAAACTAACATCCCCTCTGGAATTAACCATTTAAATAGAATTCTTTTCTGATTTAGATAGGTAGCTAGAAATTTATAGTCTCGCCTTACTTCTCTTACTTTCCTTGGAATTTGCTTGAGAATCAAAATTTCTTTGCCTTTATACATAATTGTTCCGTCTCTGGACATCCTAAATATAATATCCCGGACACTCCTTCTCGCAAAGCGAATATGGACTTCTCTCGGGCATTTATGGCATCTCGCATAGTTGTGCTGACCCTGTAGACTTCGTCAAATTCCCTTAGGATATCATCTTTATCCTTTCCCAGTAGTCCGGCCAGTATTTTTGCCATTAGCTGCTCCAGGTCTTCTTCCTTGGATTCCTCAACATTTTGGAATCTCAAGTATGTAGCCGCCTTATCCATTTCTAAGTAGACCAATGAGTCTTCCATTTCTTTGCTAACATTTTTTAATTCTTCATCTACCCTTTCTAATTTCCTTTCTGTTCGTTTAGTCCTTGTCTCTACTTCTTTTATCGTTGCTTCGTTTTTTTCCAAAGCCTGTTGTAATATTCCAATTTTGTCCTCTACTTTAAAGATGTCTGCTTTCATTTCTGCTTTTAATTTCCCCATCTCCTCTTTTAATTCACTAATATCTGCTCTTGTTTCGTTATGATTTTTAATCATTATTTCTTGTAGTTTCGTCATCGATTCTTGTAGGGTTAGCAAAGTTGATTGAATATTGGCATTCGAAACATTAGCTTGTTTTTCCACTGGTAGCGTTTCTTCTATGGTTTTTTGAACCATGGGCGAAGCTGTTGCCAGGGTAGTTATTAATGTCAGGGTAGCCTTCCTTCCAGTTTTCAAAGCCGTAGTCATTGTAGAAGTCATTTCTTTTAGTATTTGTTTCTGTTGTTGGATTATATTAGTTATATTATCCCAAATTACCATTCAGTATTATAACCCCTATATTAGAATTGTCCGGTATCTAATTGCTTAGTCCACCTATCTACTAGGTAGCTGTATTTTGTATTCTTAACTGGTTACTAAAATATATGAATATATGTTATTTTTAATCCTAATTCTAAATCACATATATAATTTTATGAAGTCTATGTTCAAGTTCTATGCAACACTATACAGCACTATATAACGTTCCATATAATAAATATATATAATAAATAGTATATCAAATCTAACCAAGTTTAGGTTTTATGAGTTTGTAAGTATTGTAAATATATATGTATTCTTATCTAACCTTATCTGACTCTATTTTAAGTATTAGATATTCTAAATATTCTTAGTCACCGGTATTCTTAAACATAAACAGTATTATTCCCTTCCCCAATAGATTAATTATAATCACACACTAAATTATACTATTAAGATCTTAAATATTAAATATTAGGTCTTATACTTATTGATTAAATAGTTCTTAACGTTCTTACTATTTTCCTTATCAATCTGGTCAAAGTATAACTATCCCTATTATTTGTGAATTAATCAAAACAATTAAATCAGTTATCTAGCAATCTAATATAACAATCAGTACTCCTTTCCACAATAGATAAATTTATAGTTGTTATAAGGAGAAAATGAAAGGAGAGAAAAAATTTATCATAACACCAGAAAATCAGTAAATAAAGGGAAAGGAAAAGAATTAAGCAGATTTATACACAGAGAAAAAAAGAGAAAAGAAAAGGAGGAGAGCAGTAGGAAGACGGGATTTTAAAGTCAGTTTTTAGTCCACCGTTCTCTGGGTTTAAGCACTTTTTCTTCAAACGCACCGGAAGTAGGGAGGTAAAAAGTGCTGAATAATGACTGCCATCAATCAGTATCTTCCGAAACTTCCAAGTTACTTTACTTTTTTTTTTTGTAAGTGCTCCTAAGTTCAATACATTAATTTCCTTTGCGTACGACCACCTCTTCAATTTATTTAAATCTTTTAAAGTTCACCCCTAGAGAAAAAGAAATAATTGTCTTTTATTATATCACACAATAATTCTTTCTTCCTAAAACTAATATTTGGTTGTGAGTGGAAAAAATACTACCAAAGGTGGCTGTTTAGTGTTATATAAACACTGAAGATCCAGAGCAGTAAATTAATACTAAATCATGCTTTCCCGTTTTGGATTGAACAAATAATTGTGATTAGAGTACAAATATGGAAGAATGGAGGGAGGGACAAAGCAAGGAACTCTCAGTCTTTTGTTTTTTTTCCAACTACTAAAGTGATTTTACCATTGTTAATTTTAATTCAAAGAAGTGTACAGGAATAACTCTTAAATCTTGGGAGTTACAATATTCATAATAAAACTCTTTAGAACATCAATATTAAACTGAAATATATGTAAATTCACACTTATAAACACAGCTGCCATCCAGTCACATGCATGTTTTTGGGAAAGCAAGTTCCATGAAGCTTAATACGGTAGAACTTAACTTGCAGTTTGCATGTATTCATAGCATTAAATGTTGGCAAATTAAAACTGTAACATATCAGAAAGATACAAAGAGATTCTGAAATCATTTCCATTTGGAGTAAAATTTTTGAACAGTGGTTTTGGCAAAATTATAATGAGCTCAAACTCTATTTGAGATTTTGTTTTCACTGCTTGTCTGCTTAAGGGAAGATAATTCTAGTTTCTATAAGTGGTTTTGTTAGAGATTACATTCTCATATTAATATCTTTACTTTGTCTAGCAAAAGCCAGTTAAGACACCAATTCACTATTCTGGGGTAACTTTGCAAACGAAAAAAAATGTTTTAATACTTTACCGAGGCCACTGTTTTTCTTTGTCTGTCAGAGGAACATATATCACACCCATCAGATGCTTTTCCACAATCTGGCCATCCATCGTTTTGTCAAACTGCATCATAACCTGGTTTCCATTTTCTGGCCCCACTGGCAAAATCAGTCGTCCTCCAGGTTTCAGTTCATTCAGCAACTGGTAATACAGAAAAAATATCAGTAAACATGGTAAGGCAAATTAAAGACAAAAAAAATCAAGCTAAACACTGAGCATCCTAGGAAGTATAGTGAACATAAAGTATTTCTTGAGAATCTGGAACCTTGCTGTTTATTTTTAACTCAACTTGGTCTCTTTATTTAGCTCCTGAAAGGTTCTATGGCAGAAGTCTAGCAAAATAGTGTTTGTTTTGGTAAAACATGAAAGCTTACATCTTATAATGTAAAGAAAGAAATTATCAAAAGCCTCTATATTTGAAGTATTCTTCCGAGTTTATATTATTTGGGGCTAAACTTCCAATATGGGTCACAGTTCCGTAGCATTCTTGGGAACTTGGAAAACAAAAGACTGTAGAGTTGTAATTGCAGGAATGTTCCAATCTCGGATGGCAAACCTCAGATAAAGAATGTTTCCAAGCAAATACAACTCAGGCAAACAAAGTCACTAATCTATGGATAAAGGAGGATTAGAGAGGGGAAGTAAACATATGTTAGACTTTAACTAGAGATAATTAATTGTATTAATTACTGTGCTAAACAGTAACGAAAGTTAAGCAGTAACCAAAGTTAACCAATGATGGAGGATAACTAAAAATGTGTATAAATGCAAGACTAGACTCCAATAAAGATCATCATGATTCAGTTGTTCATGATCAAACAACTCGACTGCCTCGTCATTACAACAAAAGACAAGATTATTGTTTACTGAACGGAGTGGAGATGGTTCCTTCTGTATCCTACCTCCATTGGCACAGTGGGTGCAGCTGCTCCAACATGGATGGCATCATATGGGGCTTCTTCAGGATATCCCGTCCTACCATCCCCAACTGTGGAGAGGGAATGTAGACAGTTAAGGTTTTATAAGTGGAAGAAAATGATTTTTCTCATTCACAATCTATTTGCTATTAAACTCACAGGTGACTGAAAATAGTGCCTAATTTAAATTACAGAAACTCTGTACATAACACAAAAACAACAGATCAAAATGACAGTTAAAGAACAAGATATATGCAACCTAATTAATCATCAGGGTCAAGCCTCATAAACACAAAGATTTCCTGAAAAAAGGGGGATCTATTTTGAAAAAGAAGCATCACACTATGGATATTACTAGAGAAAATATTTCATTCAGTATTATTCCATTCAGTATTTCAGTATTATAATTTAGTCTCTTATTTTCCACTTAGAAGGAGCTTTAAGAAAGACCCAATAAAGAACTTCTGGGTAAAATGAAAGAGAAATAATATGGGAAGTAATATGTGAGAATCAAAACATCCAGATTGTCCAATTTACCATAAAAAGAATTATTATATAGAGATAATTATTTAAAGACAACTCACCCCTGTAGCTTTGAAAAATATATTTTAAGAATTATCTTTCTAGAATGCTTTCTCTACTGTTGAAAACAGCAAGCACCTATCAAATCAGAATTGGTACCACAGCTACAAAACAGATAACTTACCTAAAAGTTTCACTCGTCCAGAACTAAGTAAGTTTGGGTCATCTTTTCTGACGTTCCTAAGGGATTCATGGACCAATTCTTCTATGTGCTCAATACCTATTGCCTTGCCTGTGGGGCCCACCTATAAAAGGAGTCATGTATACTTCAAACTCTATTGCTACTTCAAATTCATTATTATAGAGGAAATAGAATTCATTAAATAAAAATTCATTATGAATTTAGCAAACATTAATTCTAAACAGAATTTAAGAATTTTTAACTGTTTGATT